CACACACACACACACACACACACACACACACACACAGACACACACATGGACTATGACCTCTGCACCACCCAGTACCGTGTGTCCCTGATGGCTCGGTAGGTAATCCGGGTGTTCTGTCTCAATGCACTGCTTGGCACTTAGCCTTCTTCCTTGGCTTTCTGATTGTCTCAGATGAGTAACCTGGTGGTGTCGCAGATCATGAATTACCCTGACGTCATCTCGAGGGCCAGCGCCATTGAGAAGTGGGTGGCAGTGGCCGACATCTGCCGGTGCCTGCACAACTACAACGGCATGCTGGAGATCACGTCGGCCTTAAACAGAAGTGCCATCTACAGGCTGAAGAAAACCTGGGCCAAGGTGTCCAAGCAGGTGAGCGTCGGCATGGAACACAGCCCGCTGCCTGGAGGAGGAGAGACTGGGAGGGGTGGGGAGACGGAGCCCCGATAACTATGACTCATTAGGACATCACGAACTGAAATGAGCAGCTCAGTTGCCAAAGAAAGGTGCCAACGGGGGTAATTACCATGTTCTTACCACCTAATTGATTCCACTCGTGTGTGTCTTGAAATAGTTTAGAAAATAAAAACACAAGCCAAAACAGCCATTAAAACATTTGGGGGGGATCACCTCAGCCAGCATGGTTGCCAGTTAGGAAATGTTTCCTGAATCACTTAGGCAGGAGAGTCATAGGATAGTGGCCACGCTCTCTCCCCCAAAATAAGGTCTGACGACCAGGGACTGGTCGTCTTTCTCTTTTTTGTTTATGGAGCAGACGGACAGTTCTGGTGTGGTGAGGCGGTGGTGAGGCAGGTAACTGGTTTCATTTATTTTTCAGTTGGCTCTGTTTGCCCATGCCCATCTTTTTGACTCAAATCAGAAGACATCACACGGGGGAACCTGGGAGGGGGTGGGGGGTGCTTGCTCCCCCTTGTGGCCGTCTGTTGTTGAGGGGGTCCTTGGGTATGAGTCATTTGTACCTGGTGTGCATCTATCTAGGTCTCTGGGGGGCTGAGGAGAGGGGCAAATGGTTGGTCCTCAACTGCTAACCTGAAGACGTAGCGTTTCAGCTCGCCTGGTGAAAGCCTGGTAATGTACATCTATAAAGATTACAGTCATAAGAAGCGCATGCAAGAGGCCTATCGTGTAACACAAGGTTACAGTCAACTGTGCTTTGGTTTGGGTTTGGTGGACATGTGGTGTGCCTGCCTCACCCAAGAATGGTGCACAGTGAATGAACCGGGGAGTTGACTGATGTCACCTCCCTGGAGCTGTCACTAGCTCTGCTGATCTTCTGAGGCTTGCATATGGCTTACTTGTAGCCCCCCTACCTAGCAGCTTCCACAATGGACTGCCCTGCCCCTTGGTGATACCTTGTGGGCATGCAGGCTGTTTGTCATAAGATAACTACCTTGGCTCTCTCAAAGGACCTTGGGGAACTTTCCAGACTTCTTCATGTCCTATGGGTGCCAAAGAGTAGGAGAGCCTTCTTCAAGCCCTGTCTCTCTGACCTTTCCACACATGCCACTAGCCCCACCTTCAGGTGGCCAACCCAAGCTGGGGAGGAGCATCTGCTTCACCAGCACCCATCGCCATGGGTTCAGTTGAGAAAAAGAGCACGAATACACACTGCTTCCATCTCCTCAAGACCATCTGGTTTCTGTGGCCTTATCGGAGAGTTGAACTCCTCTCATTGATTTTACTTGTTCCCTATTCTTGTCTGTTTTACTTTTCTCTCTCCAAGTCTCTCTCTAGCAAAGGAGGTGCTTTTGAATGTCTCTCTATATGGCAAATCATGTTCTTCACCCTACCTGTTCTATTCCTTAGTAAAATAGGCCTTGTTCTGAGAACTCGCCTCTGGGCCCTTGGAATTCTCAAATTGTCTTGCCGTTCACAAAGCCAGGCTCCTGCAAATAAAAGCTGCCGCTTTTAAAGTTTCTTCGGTTGGTATGATTATGAAGTCAGTTGTTAAGAACTGATAGAGAGATTTCCCACACCTTACACCCAATTTTCCCCAAAGTAGCATCTTGCATAACTATGGACAATATCACAATCAAGAAATTGACAGCAGTACTGTCCTGAATTAAATTTTGCCCCCCAGATATGTGTCAACTTGACTAGCCCATGATTCTGATCGTGTGTGGTTGTCCTCCCTTTGGGCAGGACTTGTAAATGCTAGCCTCATGTGAGCTGTACTTTACACTATGTTCAGGATTAGGTTATGTGAAGGAGGATTAGTGATGTTTGTCATGTTAATGGGGTGCATCTTGAGTCACCACCCTTCATTGATCTACAGAGACCAAAGTGGTCTTCATGGATCTCCAGACAAAAGTCAATAGAGAGAGGAACCTCCTAGCACCAAAAGCAGCTCCCGGAGCGAATCTTGTCCTTTAAACGCAGGGTCGCTGTGATGAGAAACTCCCAAGCCCAGGGGAAGAGAGAGGGCAAGGAGTTCCCACAAGGCCAACAGAGAAAGTGCACCTTCCCCTGTAGCTGCTGCCCCGATTTCATACCTCCACCTGCTTAAGCTCAGCGAGCAAATTTGTATTTGTTAAGGTCATCCACTTGTGAAATTTCACTGAGAGCCGCACTAGATAACTAAGACAGGTACAATCCACCAGCTTTATTTCTATTATACCCACTGCACATTGTGTCTGTGTTTACTCCTCTCCTGGCTCATGTGATAAGCGCATGTTGACTTTGATTAAGTAGACAGTCATTTTGAGAAAATGACATTTAAATTTTCACCAGTACCGATGAGTGACCCAATTCACCTAGTGCAGCTCATTGTGGTTGCAACGTCACGTTCTCCTAATGACCCCTCCCACTAACCAACTGACGGTCCTTACTCACCACCTGCACAGCGCTTCCGTTGTACAGTATGTTCATCTTTGATGTACTTTTCAAATTGTATCGGTTGTTTTTTTACTATTGAGTTTTGCAGTTCTGTTGATATTTCTCTCCTACTTTCTACTTCTTTACAAAATTGTTTTTAGTCCTCTTGGGCCCAGCACTTCCTCATATTCATTTTAGAATACATTTGTCTAAAATTGCTGCAATTTTGATTAGAATCACATTAAATCTGTAGATCAATTTAGGAAGAACTGACACATTACTCTTCCCGTTAACACTTCCAGTTCTAGAGAATAGGGTCTCTCCGCTTTGGTTTCCTTTGATTTCTTTTATCAGCATTTAATAATTTTTAACATAAATCCTTTACATGTTTTATTAGATTTAAGTACTTAAATCTAAGTACTTAAAGTAGTAAGTACTTAAGAACTACATTTCCTCTGGAGAAATTGTAAATCTTAGTGAGGCTTCAACTCAATTTGCACTTGTTCATTGTTAGTGTATATGGAAATGTGAGTGGTTTTTGTGTGCTGATCTTGTCTTGCAGATTTGCTAAACCCACTTGCTAGTTTTAAGGAGATATTATGATTAAATTTCCTCCCCCCCCCCCCGCCCCCTTAAATATGTGTTGCAAACCCTCTCCTCTATGCCTGTGGTTATAATCCAGTTTGGGAGTGGATTATCTTTGTTACATTAAATAAGAGGAGTCCTGGTTGCATAGTGGGCTACACACTGAGCTATTAACCACAAGGTCAGCAGTTCGAACCCACCAGCCACTCTGCAGGAGAGGTGTTTAAAGATTTAAAGCCTCTGACACCCAAAGGAGCAAGTTTACCCTGTACTGTAGGGTGGCATAGTGATTACATGTTAGACTGCTAACTACAGGATCAGCAGTTTGAAACCACCCACTGCTCCTTGGGAGAAAGATGAAGGTTTCTACTCCTGTGAAGGGTTGCTACCCTGTCCTATCGGGTCACTGTGAGTCAGAATCAACTCAATGGCAGTGAGTTTTAGTTTGATCGTTTTAGTCTGCTCATCCTTGGAGGTAGAATGAGCTGTTCTATATGAATTTCCCTTGGACATCTTACCCCATCCTTCAGACAGCCCCAAAGAGTATGATTTGAGTCTCTTGAGGATGCCCAAAATACATCTTTGAATACATCCCACATGAATTTCCAAAACATCTCCGGAAATGATTTGATGCATTGGACACTAGTGGCAGAAGACTTGATGAGCTAAGGTATGACATCATACAAGTAGAAAGCAAAAGGTCATTAAAAAGACAGGGAAGAAAGAAAAGATCAAAGCAGATGTCAGAAGAGACTCTGAAACTTGCTCTTAATCACAGAGTAACAAGGAAAATGGAGTAAATGATGGAGTCAAAGAACCGAACAGAAAATTTCAAAGGGTCACTTGACAAGACAACGCAGAGTATTATGATGAAATGTACAAAGACCTAGAGTTAGACAAAACCAAAAGGGAAAAACGTGCTCAGCATATCTTAGACTGAAAGGACTCAGTAAAAATTCTATCCTCGGGTTGCAATATTGACAGATTCTAAGGAGAAAACTAATGATAGCTGCAGGAAGCATCAAAAGAAGATGGAAAGAATACAGCCACTGTTCTAGTGGACAGTCCACCATCCCACCGTTTCAAATCATGAGCAAGAACCCATGATGCTAAAGGAAGAAGTTCGAGCTACACTGAAAGCATTAGGCAAAAATGAGGCTCTAGGAATTGATTTCAAAAACCAATTGAAATATTTCAACTAGCTGATAAAGCATTTGAAGCACTCTGCCAGCAAATTTTGGAAAATAGCCACTTAGCCAACTGATTGGAAGAGATCCCTATTTGTACTCATTCCAAAGAAAAACAACCCAACAGAATGCTCAGACTATAGGACACTATTATTAATATCACATGCTAGTAAAATGTTGCTGTAGATCATCCCATAATGGTTATAGCAGTACATTGACAGGGAGCTGCCACAAATTCAAGCTGGATTTAGAAGAGTACATGGAACAAAGGATATCATTGCTGACGTCAGATGGCTCTTGGATGAAAGTAGAGAATACCAGGAAGATGTTTACTTGTGTTTTATTGACTGTGCAAAGGCATTCTCCTGTGTGGATCATAACAAAATATGAATAGCCTTGCGAAGAATGAGAATTCCAGAATACTTCATTGTGCTCATGTAGAACTTGTACATGGATCAAGAACCAGTTGTGCAAAAATTCCCAAGGAAATATTTCATGCTTTACAATAAGGAAAGGTGTACATCAGGGTTGTAGCCTCTCACCATACTTATTTGATCTGTATGCTGAGCAAATCATCAGAGAAGCTGGATTATATGAAGAAGAATGTGAGAGTAGGATTGGAGGAAGGCTTAGTAACAACCTGCTATATGTAAATGACACAGGCTGGCTTGCTGAAAGTGAGGCGGACTTGAAGCACTTGCGCATGAAGATCCAGGATTGCATCCTTCAGTGTGGATTACAATTCAATGTAAAGGAGAACAAAAT